TCCGTGTATCGATACAATATCGCGATACTATGCTGTATCGATTTTTTCCCCCACCCCTAATACATATAGGTAGTGTTTCTCTAAACCAGTTGAGGAAATGGTTCAAATGGTTTATTGATCTATCTATTCATTCAGTTAATTCTATTTCAGTGCCGGTTTTCAGATCAATATTACATGTTGATAATGTTTCCTCTGTTTTTCTTTCAGTTCGTGTTCTTTATGGCAGTATGATAAGTGTATTTTATCTCTGTCCTTGTGTGCGTGCGCGCTTTTACAGATGCCAACTGTGCTGTCCTGTCCGAACAGTGCGAGGACCAGCCGTGTCCAGCAGACATGCAATGTGTTTCAGTTGAGGCCACCAGAGGGCGCTACGCGTGTCAGTGTCCACCAGGCAAACTGGGAGAGTGTGCAGGTGAGTGAGAAAGAGAGGGAACACACTACATTTTCAAGTCTGGGTGAATAGTTTTGATGTGTGAAGATAATACTTGCAACAACAACATTTAAATGTGCTTGCGATGTCACGAATACCTGCTCTGGAATGTGATTCATTAACCCATGTGTCTGTTTGTGTTGGGGGGCGGGTCCAGGCCATTCGTCTCTGAGTTTCTCAGGAAACAGCTACATCAAGTACAGACTGTCTGAGCGGCTGCAGCCGGAGCTGAAAGTTAGCCTCAGGATCCGAACACTGCAAAGCAGAGGAATCATTATGTACACACACACTGAGCCCTGCACTGTGCTCAAGGTACACACACCAACACACACTCTGAGCCCTGCACTGTGCTCAAGGTACACACACCAACACACACACTGAGCCCTGCACTGTGCTCAAGGTACACACACCAACACACGCACACTGAGCCCTGCACTGTGCTCAAGGTACACACACCAACACACACACACAGCAACAGCTACTGCTCTGCTCTTTGTGGGCTCATCCTTTAAAATACAAATGCATTGACGGAAATATTGGCTTATATTAATGTTAAAGTTATTACAAATTGAATTATCAACTTCTATTTAGTTGTAATGATTAGATATATTTGACAGATATGTCAGACAACTAGACGACTCCTGAGAGATTTAGCAGTTGAGATGTAGCCAGGCTAAATAAAGAAATAATAATATATCAGTAGAACATAAACATTGTTTGATTAGACAGCAGTTGTTTCTGTTTAAAACATTTGCCATGAAGATCCTTTTGTCATTCGGTATGGTATTAATCAGACATTTTTGTTACTTTTCAGAACACTAACCAAATTCTGCAGTTAACATTTTGTAAAGCTGCAGAATCATGCTTGTTCTGCACAGCTGCTAATGGAAGTTTGCATATACACTAGCTATGAAAGTGATCCTAACAAGGGATTTGAACTGTTTGAATGAGACTTTGATAGAAGACAAAAAAGACAACTGTCATTAAATGAACTGCCTGATTACACAGATATACTGTGAGAACAGACAAAGTGTGTGTGTGTGTGTGTGTGTGTGTGTGTGTGTGTGTGTGTGTGAGAGTGTGTGTGTGTGTGTGTGTGTGTGTGTGTGTGTGTGTGTGTGTGTGTGTAGCTGGAAGAGGGGAAGCTGTGGTTCCAGCTGGCCTGTGGCCTTGGCAGTGGTGGTGGCGACAGTCCCGACATGTTGGGCATCTCCGGCCGTCGTATCAATGATGGCAGCTGGCACACGGTGGCACTGGAGCTAAATCGCAACTTCAGCAGCCTGGCGCTGGATGACAGCTACGTTGAGCGTCGACGTGGACCACCATTCATACAACCACTTGCTCCAGACAGAACCATCTACTTTGGAGCACTGGTCAGTCCCTGAGGAGTTGCAGCTATCACTGAGGTTTCAGATGGTCATATAAGGGAGAACAGCAGCGTGCACACCTACAAATCTAAAAAATAAATAAAAGATAGATGACTTTCTAGCTGAAACGCATCTTTGTTTTCACTTCCAAATAACTGGTTTGTGGAACTGGTCTGTTGTTGTAATGTCTATGAAAATAAGAACCAGGTTGTTAAATGCATTTAACACTCCGTCATTGATTTACAACATGCACATTTCTATCTGCAAACTAAAAATGTAGGAGACCATTTACAGCTGTTTCTATTTACCATGTGCTTTGCATATTTGAGACCGAGCATGTGTTACACATTGTGCTTAATAATTATCTAAAGTGGTAGGAGGTAGTTATGCCCTAATATTCCCTAATAATTAGCCTCACTAAAAGGCGTGTGCAGTATGTAGCCTACAAACTACTAATTCTACCACAGAATTTACACTGAACATTTTCAAAGTTGAATGTTTAGTGAAAGGAAATGCATGACTTACCTGAGATTTCTCACAAATACTGTGTGTCTGTGTTTTTGGTTCATTTTCTTCTCTTCTTGTGAATGACAGGTGGTCAGTCATCACATCTTGAGGCTGTCTTTGGAAGTTCATGAATTCATCTCTGACCCTTCTCTCCTCAGGTGCAGCACCCCAACTCTCGCAGCCTCGTGGACTCCCAGAAGGACCCGCGGGTGCTTGAGGGTTTCCAGGGCTGCCTAGACTCGGTCATGTTGAACAACAACGAGCTGCCGCTGCAGAACAAACGCTCGCGCTATGCGGAGGTGGTAGGACTGACGGAGCTGAAGCTGGGCTGCATCCTCTATCCCGACGCCTGCCTGCAGCAGCCCTGTCGCAATGGAGCCACTTGCACCAGCCTGCCTTCTGGGGGTGAGTAACAGGAAGCACAATCCAAGCTAATTGTTTGCGCGACGAGATTACATACAAAGTCAATGCAAAGATGCGAATGGACCCGAGGAGATGCGAAATCGCACTACGCCATTCGCCTCTTTCGCGAAATTCGCGCTACGCTGTGTCGCGAAAGCCTGAAAGACATGAGATTGTCCTCTCATGTCCTCTCGTCATCCCTGACGTCCTGCTGTTGAATCAGAAATGGAGGTAAAAGCTCTACGGCACCTCATATTAGTAGAGACCGGAACAAACTATGTGTATACAAACTATACAAACTATATGGTAGAAACAATAACAACGCTGCCGTATGATGTTATTTTGAGTGTTGATGGAGCAGCTACGATGTTAACAGCACTGATCCAGCTCCATTCAGAAAACAAGCATTTTAAAAGTTGTTTGCCTGTCGTCCTGTAGACAGACCCGACTGCATGATTTCGGACTTTAAAAGAAAATCTGCATCATTATGTAGCTATTTCTACATCCTGTATATCCGTTTATTGCAATTAAATCACAGCAAGATTGTTTATTTTGGGTTCCTACAGTAATACTTACAGTAAGTAAGTATTGGAAGTGATTCTTTTTTATTATGTTATTTAATTGGAATAAGAGTTGATAAGATAAGATAAAGAGTTTTTTATTGTCATTGTAGTGATACAACGAAATTTCGTTTGGTAGCCAGCAGCAGCGGATAACAACAACGATAAACAATATACAAGATAAAAACGTTACCAAAGCCAGGCACTTTTCATACAGAGCATATAAATTCAGACTCGTCTATCGCCACTCAAAGAGAGAGAGAAGAGGACATCAAGAGGTTATTATGGAAGACTTGTGATCAACAGCTGATGGTAGAAATGTCAGCACAGGTTACAGTAGCCTTACTAAACACTGCTGGAAGACCTCCCACACGCCACATGCTCCTCATTTACACTGTAATGAGCAAAGCACCGTGGGAATTGCAGCAGCCCACTGTTGTCCTTTGCACAGCGCTGTGGAAATGACTGTTTTTGACTCAGATGTATTGTGTTCACACAATGAGAAATGCTAATTCCTCAGCGTTTTCTTTTGCGTTTCTTTTAAAGTGGTGTGTGTCAGACCCATTCCGTGTGAGCATGTGTGTGTGTGTGTGTCTTCATTATGCTGTGTGAGTATACTCATGTGATCTTTTTAAAGGGCCGTGTGTGTTTGACTTGTGAACAGTGCACTGACTGCTCTGGATTCTCAATGAAGTGTATCTTCTGTCTGTCTGCCAGGGTTCTCATGCAGCTGTCACCCGCTGTACACCGGAGGGCGCTGTGAGATGGAGATAACGGCGTGTGTTCCCAACCCATGTCAGAACGGTGGCATATGTAAGCCCATCGGCAACGCCTTCCTCTGCAGCTGCAGGAGGGGCTTCAAGGGTCTGATGTGAGTTCCAGTCCAAACACACAAAGCTGAACTTAAGGAACTTAAAGGATTGATTCACCCACATTCAAATCTATTTGAATGTGGGTCAAATCTATTTTGTTAAATGACTTTTGGTTTTATTTGTCCAGGTTTGGAAATATCTGTCTCCTTCCCAATACAACACGGGTGAATGGAAGTTAGATTGTGCTGCTCATTGAAAGAGTCTGGAACTACTTTCTGCAGAAGAAATTATCCAGAGAAACAGGGAGACTGATTCTGGAAAAATATATAAGTTTAAAAATAATCATGAAATCCCATGAAATGGTAAATGGTTTGCATTTATAAAACATTTTCCGGCCTTAGCGACAACGCAAATCACCATTTACCCATTGTGGTGGCAGAGGCTGCCATACAAAGTGCCACCTGCTCATCAGCAGCCATAAACATTCATACGCACAGCAGTTCAGGTTCAGTATCTTGCAGGAGGACACTTTGACATGTAGACAGCAAACCTAACGGCTTTGTTAACTTTGGGAACTCTAATATAATTTGAAATTGAGGTATGTGGCTTTGGGGAGTTTGTAATGACTGAGCCACCGATTTGTAAATTAAAAAAGCTAAGATCTTTTATAAAACTGGATGGATGAGCAAGTGTCCTTTCCAAAATCACGAACTACACTCTTCATCAACATTATTTACCCTCTTACACTCTCTTAAAATAGTTTACAGCTAAATTGCACTGGAAACTGCACACAGCAGCTTAATGGACAGAGAACACGGGATTGTGTTGTGAGCCCACACAGGGACTTCTTCTTCTCCAATCTATCCGCAGTGCATCTCTTACTCTCTCACTCTCTGGCTGGTATAAAGCAATCCATCTGTGAGCAGGTAACTGAGCAGTCACAAGGTATTCATGCACTATCATCTCACTCCAGATCTTTCTCCTCTTTCTTCCCCATCTTCCCCATCCCCATCTCCTCTTTCTTCCCATCCCTGTCTCCTGCAGCTGTGAGGAAGATGTGAACGAATGTGACCGCAGCAATCCAGAGGGTGAGTGTGAGAACGGTGGCGTCTGCGTCAACACTTATGGTTCCTTCTACTGTAACTGCACAGCGGGCTTCGTGGGCCAGCGCTGTGGTCTTCGGCCCGTTGTCGTCCCAGACATGCAGGCCGGTCACACTGTGGTCGGTAAAGAGGAGCTGATCGGAATCGCTGTGGTGCTTTTGGTCATCATCACCCTCATCATCCTCTTCATCGCTTTCCGAAAGAAGGTTTTCCAGAAGAGCTACTCTCGGAACAACCTGTCTCTGGTCCAGGACCCAGCCACTGCAGCACTCCTCAACAAGGCCAACGGTGTTCCATTTAACTGCACACCAGGAGACCCTCTCAACCTGTACTCTGAGCCGGGGCTGGGGGCCACTGTAGTGGGAGGGGGCGGGATGATGGGACCTCCACAGGTCCCTGTGAGGCCCATGGCATACACGCCCTGTTTCCAAGGAGACCCACGGTCCACGCTGGAGAAGATGGTGGACGGACGCGGTGTGGAGCATACCGAGATGAGCACCTTTCACCCAGAGTCACCAAGGATCCTGTCGGGAACCACCAGGAGGGGGGTGGTGGTGTGCAGTGTGGCCCCCAACCTGCCGCCAGTGTCGCCCTGTCGCTCAGACTGTGACTCCATACGCAAGAGCCCATGGGATGATGAGGGTGAGTGTGTGTGTGCTTTTTACTACCTGCTGATGTGAGAATATACAATTAGAATAAGTTAGAGTTAGTAAATCAGGGACAGTTTTTTGTGTCCTCTAGGGGGACAGCAGTCTAGCAGCTCTGCTTTGGTATTTGGAAGGCTGCTGAAGTTAAATATTATATTGACTGATAAAATTGTTATCACATTCATTCAAAATGTCTTTGGACAGCTTTGTTCATTAGGTGCCACTGTGTAACTTTATGTAGTGCAAAATAAATGTTGTTAAAGCATGGACAGGGTCATCTAAATGTGATGCTTGGACTTCATGCACTTTTGCACCAGATACAATTCAGACTTGTTGTTTTAATTAACAAAAGTCTAAATGTAAATAAATTGAGCGTGGAAGTTAGAGATGTCCTGATCAAGTTGTTCTGCCCTGATTTGAGTCCTTCAATGACGGGTAAGTTTGTGATACTGCCCAGTGCTACACTGTGGAAATGAGATAAGATAGAACTCAAAGATTCCTCTTGTTGAAGATGCTCCGTATACAAAGAAAAAGGAATTAAATACATGGCTGAAGATGGATATGCAATGCTGATTAAATACGTCTCTGGTGCATTGAAACAACAGCTGTAACATGCTTTATTTGGGAGAGTAATTAATGAATTCTTCAGAAACAAAGAAGTTTCTGAAGAATTTCTGAACATGAGATGAGACCCTTTGATCTTAGATTATTTTGTTACTAATAAACAACATTATGTTCAACATTATGTTCTGTTAATTTATGCATGCCAATGATTCATATAAAAGCACAAGCTACTACTTCCAGTGCTCAAATATTTTTCCCTCCTTAGACTTACTGGGTTTAATGTATTTTTATTACTGCTGGGCAAGTTAACGAGTTAACGCATTCATTAATTAACGGCGACAATTATTTCATCGCGCGGTAACGCAGTATTTTTTTACTATTAAGCGGACATTTTTAACACAAGAACCGGGCAGCGAGTGGTGAATAGCTGTGTTTGTGTGGCGTCACTTCCTGCTGCTGCCCCCCCCCCCCCCTGGTGACATGCCCCCTTCACTCCGTCACCGTCGGTCCCTCCTGTCTGATCCTGATCTGATCTGATCCTGTAGCGATCGTCTCGTTACAGGATCAAACGTGACAATATCAAAATACATATTGTCATGTTTTTAAATGAACATATAAGCACGTGAGAACAAACTGCTCTTAACTGCAACTCTTTATTAGCATAACTTCCTCATGCACGTTACTGCCACGGTACACCCTCTATGTACCAACGTACATAACAAATACCACACATATTACGGTAATCAGCGTTGCATATGTGTCTGACCAAAATACCAAAAAAAGCAATGATTCATTTAAATTGTGCCCAGCACTAATAAATGTATGTATGTATATGTATGTATGTATATGTATGTATGTATGTATATGTATGTATGTATGTATATATGTATGTATATGTATGTATGTATGTATGTATATATGTATGTATATGTGTATATGTATGTATATATGTATGTATGTATGTGTATATGTATGTATATATGTGTATATATATGTGTGTATGTATGTATATATATGTATGTATATATGTGTGTGTATATATATGTATGTATGTGTGTATATATATGTGTGTGTATATATATGTATGTATGTGTATATATATGTATGTATGTGTATATATATGTATGTATGTGTATATATATGTATGTATGTGTATATATATGTATGTATGTGTATATATATGTATGTATGTGTGTGTATATGTATGTGTATGTGTGTGTATATGTATGTATGTGTATATGTATGTATGTGTATGTGTGTGTGTATATGTATGTGTGTATATGTATGTGTGTGTGTATGTGTGTATGTGTATATGTATATATGTGTGTGTATATATGTGTGTGTATATATGTGTATATATGTATATATATGTGTGTGTATATATGTGTGTATATCCATCCATCCATCCATTTTCCACCGCTTATCCGGGGTCGGGTCGCGGTGGCAGCAGGTCAAGCAGGCCGACCCAGACCTCCCTCTCACCGGCAACATGTTCCAGCTCATTCTGGGGGATCCCGAGGCGTTCCCAGGCCAGCTGGGAGATGTAATCTCTCCAGCGTGTTCTGGGTCTTCCCCGGGGTCTCTTCCCAGTTGGACGTGCCTGGAAAACCTCCAGTGGGAGGCGTCCAGGAGGCATCCTAATTAGATGCCCGAACCACCTCAGCTGACTCCTTTCGACGCGAAGGAGTAGCGGCTCTACTCCAAGCTCCCTCCTGATGACCGAGCTCCTTACCCTATCTCTAAGGCTGAGCCCGGCCACCCTACGGAGGAA